ATGAGGAAGAATTTCTTCCCTCTGAGGGTGACGGAGCACTGGAACAGGCTGCCCAGGGAGGTTGTGGAGTCTCCTTCTCTGGAGATATTCAAGACCTGCCTGGACAAGGTCCTGTGCAGCCTGCTCTAGATGACCCTGCTTTGGCAGGGGTGTTGGACTAGATGACCCACAGAGGTCCCTTCTACTCCCTAACATTCTGTGTTTCTGTGATTCTTAGCAGTCTTCAGTCTGGACACACAGTTATTAGTCATAAAGACAGTAAATTGTACCAGGAAGTCAAAAACAGTTAGTTGAAATGAAAGCTTTAATTCCTGTTCCATTGCTCTGATCAAGGAATTTAACCCTGTGCCAACTTGCTAAATTTGTCTCTTTCTTGCTTTAGAAATACAAGCAAGAATGGTCCTGCATCACAGCAATTATCCACTAATTCAATTTAGCACTATTTTATGGGATAAAAATGTTAATAAGTATTTTATAGAGAAGAAAAAAAAAAGCCAAACAAATATTCAAAGAACCAGTACATAATGGACAAAAAAACCCCTAAAATAATGGGCCTTGAAATATTCTACAGTCCTTGCAAAAAGACAAGTGAGAAAAATAAGTGGAATTTGCCTAGAAGCAGCATTCCAGACCCGTATTGTGAATCAATTCATTTTTCATTAAACTAAAATTTTAAGTTAAACTGAAATACCAGTTAATCAGAATTCTGTTAAAATAGCATTAAAAGTTAGAGCAGAACTATTAACTGTTGCTGTTTATTTGGCAGTGAAATGGTCATTAGAAAAAAAATAATGGATCAATGCAGCAAAGATGACAATTAAATGTAAGACCTTTTCATAGACATAAAAGAATGAACAAGAGAAAGACAATTTAGCTTCTGTTTTCTTTCACATGTTGTACCTCCCACCTGGAGGTCCACCAGCAAATTCCATTAGCATGGTCAGCAATTTGAAAAAAGGATTGGCTGCCTGTAACACATAAAAATAAAAATCTCGATTTTGATCTATTTCATTTCATCCACTAATTTTTTTACAGACCTAAAAACCTCCCACAAACATTTGCATGAAAATATATTTCTATGAACTTGACATGAACATTTACGTTACTTTTAATCTCTTATTACTTCATCTGTGAATAATCCATATACACATATCTTAATTCTACTGTATCCACATATGAATACAGTAGAATTAAGCTACTTTTTATAGCTGGTGCAAGGCAACATGATCATACTAGATAGGATCAGTCTAGTAGAAGTATACTGTTACAAGGAAATAACAGTACACATCTGACACAGGCATTATTCTGAACAATGGCGGGGGATGGAAATCAAGTCTTGAAAAATTCACCAATTTATCCTGTTTTACATACAGAGAAGATTTCACTATCTCAGATAAGCTATTATTTTTTTATGTATTTGCATAACATGTAATGGATCCTGAAAAGTTTATCCAAAAGCATCGCATTTTGAGGGTTTACACTGATCATTATTATTGGCGTACTGTTTTCCTCTGAAACCACCAATATTTCTACTGAAACATGATGGCTCTACTATGATTTTTTTTAAGTTTGCTATGACTCAACCAGTTGTTAACAATAGTTTAATAAAGTGGTTACTACTATTATTATATATTTTGCACCTTACCAAAAATGTTTCTGGTGCATGTGTATATGTGCAAAGCAAAACCAGCATAAACATGTAGCAAGTGCGAGCATGACAGGAGGGAAGTAGACTGTCATCTGATAGTGCCCATTCTATCACACAAAGCAAAGCTGTCATGAGAACGATTTAGTATGTGCTTCTTTTCCAGACATGATCATGTCTCCTCTGCTTGACATGCCCTCAATTTTTCCTGCTTATTTTTTCTTTTCTGACAGCAGTATAACACAATGTCCTTGTGTAAGCATACACTTCTCCACTCTGTATATATTTTTCATGTGGAATCCATTTGGAACTCTCAGTATTTTTGTTATTACCAGGGCAGGAATTTACTCTGAGAAATGTGTTTGCATGCACAGAACTGCAAAATAGTGCCCCAAAACTTGAACAACCAGACAATAATTACGTGTCTCCACTTATTCTCGCATACATGTTTTATTGTTACCAATTTTTTTTAATTCATAGAGGTGGAGAATCTAGAAATATGTTATTTGGCTTTGAATAAAACTTTCATCTTAAACTGCATACCAGATTTCTGCTTTAGAAAACTTCATATACAGTGCAGTCACACTTCATTTAATGTCACAATAACTTTCATGGATCACCTTCCATGCAAGATTTTTGATTAGTAAAGGATAATTTAAGTAATTTAAAACAGAAAAATACTCATACAAATTATTTAATATACAGGTAGTATGTTTACATACCTCAGGAGTCAACTTTGCTATAGATGTGAAAAGCATGGACACAATCTTAAAAACAAAACAAACAAAACTCACTTAGACTCGTGCTTATTCAGTTAAAACAATAAAAATCACCCCATTACACTTATTAGATAAGATTTCCAACAAATAGCTATAGTTTCTGAAACTTACATGTTCTGCGAGTCGATTATTGTACCGACACAAACTGAAAATGAGATTGCAAGTTTGCCTGATGTTGATACCATCACGGATATGTTGAAACAAAAAAGGAAAACCCTGCAACAAATAATAAGATACTAGTACACTGTCTACAATTACTTATGTACACACACATATGTGTATTTTTAAATGAATTACCTTTCCTCCTGTTAATGCTGCCATGTCGTTTTGTGACAAAGTCAAATGCCTAAAATACAAAAAAACCTTTATCATTTTATTTCAGAGATTATTAAGTAAAGTTAAGGAGAAATACAGGACTGAGTGTTAGTTTATATTCTTCAGTATCACAATATACAAGAGAAAATAAAGGTATTGACATAAAACTGAACAAAAACAGTAAGTATTTTGTACTTAGACCAAATAAAAAAAAGAAATCCAAATGTGGGCAGCTCAGTGTGTTCAAGAATTTAGCCTGAGTATTTTCTTTGGTCAACAGTGATACAACACTTATCTTTTAAATGGTTAAAAATGTAACAGGCCCATATATAAGCTCAATTATGCTGTTAAAAAAGCCCACAAAAAACCCTCAAACCCATAAAATCTCTAATTCCTTTCTGAACTAGCTTAGATTAGAATTTAGCTGGGTTTTCAGAAGCTCTTGCCTTTCTGAGCGAGACTGTTCAACTAGAAGAGCAATGAGGGCAATCATCTTTTCAAGTGCAGCGGGTCTATATTTTTCTTCTGCTAAAGAAAGTATATCTTCCTCTTCCTCCTCTTCCTCCCCTTCTTCCTCAGAAAGTACTTCAACCTGTGGCTGAGGGAAAAAACAGGTAGCTTCAATGTGGACATTTTGAGCCTTAATTTCAAAGAGCCCCCACGTGGTTTTGCATATATTCTGTCCTTTTATTCAAACAACTTAATAAACTTGCACGAATCAAACCAGGTAAATACCTAATCACTTCATTTTCATGTTGAAGCATTCGTTTTGCATAAGCTGAATTGTATTTACAAATGCAAAAGCTAGGTTGGTTGAAGTCACTACACAGCCTGATATGGTGGACTATTTGACAACAAAAGCAAGTACATTTAAAAGCTTAAGTTGTACAATAGGAATAAGCAATCAATTCTTACCATTGACAGCATGATAAGGGCAACTTTAATTGCTTCTACTTTATATCTATTTCTATACTAAATAGAAATAGCCAATTCATCACCTTTTAAAAATATTATATCCATTTAAACATTGAAAAAAATTACATACGTGAAGCAATTTTAATTTAATAGCTGAAAGATGGTTCAAGAGACACAGCACTAATGATCGCGTATGTAAAATATGAAAGACTAGTTCTCATTATACAAGATATTCAAACTTACATTTTCAGGTCCTTTAGTTCCCATGTAGAAATGGACCATTGTAGATATGGCTTGCAGTGAAAGCAAGAACTGGCTCTGAAATATGCAGATATTGAATTACTTGAAAATACATACATGCATATACATACCTAATTCCCAAAACTGCAATGCTATACTCACTTCCTCTTCTCCCATTTTGGCAAATTCATAAAGAAAGGCAAAGTATTCTGTGAGATGTTTACTGTGAGGCTTAACACCATGCTCCATAATTGACAAGAGTGTCTTCACAAAGCGTGTTACACAAGAGCGACTACCAATGTCTTCAACAGGACCATCCATGTCATCCGAACTGAAAACAAAATCCAAATTAGGTATTTCACACAATACATGAAACATGAAATCATCTTGAAGCAGTAAAAAAAAAAATTGAGAAAAACTTAAGAGTTTTCTGCTTTGTCCTACTATCATACTCAGATCTCTAACAACTTTCTCTTATGCCAAGTATAACCTAGATAACAACATGGCTTAAAGTAAGGTAGCACCTGTCACTCAAAATGTTGAAAGGTTAATAAAATCAGCATTCTCAGTCAGGAAAAGAATTCTGAAAAAAAAAGTATTGGGGACCTTCTATGTAAAATCATCATCTTGATTTGCACATCAACTTTCCTGAGTTTCAAGAAAGAATGCTATTATAGCTGATTTTAATTTGGAACTAAGGAAAGGCAGTCTTCTAAACACATATACAGGATCCTGACAAAGAAGAAAAGATACACTTTCAACCTTATTCATCTACTGAAAGTTGGATCTTATCACTGAACACAACAAGTGATAGAGTCTTATAAACTGAGGCTTCCAGAGAAAATTAAATTCTATTTTTTGCCATGAAAACTGTATCTTCATGTCCTGAATTTTGTTATGGCAGTATAGTTACTACAAACACTGCCACTTTTGCTCTGGAAAAAAGTTATTATCAGGATCACAAGCTTAACCCCAGAGATGAAAGAAAAACCACTTTCTTCTTTTTCTCATTGTGTATCAAAAAGAACAAATATTTCATAATTAGAGACAAAGTGACAGTTTTCTTGATAATGAGCAGAACAAAATAGAATCCAATAGGGCTTTTTGTACTTTTTGACAAAAATTGTGATATAGCTATATGACACAGGACTAGACTTTCATCTCCAACCTCTTTTATTTGATGTACAAATTAAAATTTGCACCTATATGCCTCTGGATCCAATTTACAATCGGATTCTCATGTATAAGTAGTGAGATTTACACTTGCAGCACATTACTGGCAGTGAAAAGAAAGACTATGATCAAAATCTAGTCTAAGGAAATAAATGTTTCAAACAATGTATCTTTAGACACTGGCTTTTCCAACCAAAGTAATATTTTTAAATAAATCAGAGCATTTTGGGTAGAATAATAAAGAACAATGAAAACAGTACTATTTTAGGTTTACAAGACCATTTTGAATAATTCATTAAACAAAAGTGGTTGTCGTAACGCATGTAATAAACAGAAGTTTTCACGTGTTGTTATTTTACCAGTCTTCCATTCCTGGCTGGAGATAAAGATGTGCATGCACTGGCCTCAGTCTCTGTATCACATGAATACACAAACGCTGGAACATCTGCAAATGCATGAGTAAATGAACTACACATGTTCATTCTTTTGCATGTATGTCAATACATATTTTCTAAGCAAAAAAATATTCTGTCTCCAAGTAATACTTCCAGTTCTATGTGATTCAAAGTTACAGCTGAGGCTGACACCCATATTCCATTTATTAGTGTAATGACACATCATATTTTAACAAAATAGTCAAACCTGTTTTTTTTCAAACACATCTTATGGAGGGACCCTAAAAACAGTTTTTAATATTGGTGTGCACCGTACGCTACTGAACCATGACTTAAGACTGCTGCTCACAAATGTTATTTTTTCTTCTATCTCTGTTTTTGGAAACATGTTTATATGTTTTTTGGAAAACTTCTTTTTATTTTGCCTCTGGCTATAAGAATTTATATGAAAATTTTCAGGAAATTGCTTCCAGTCATTTTAATTTATAAAATATTCATCAAGGATTAGAGCTTTGCTTAAGATCTTGCATAGAGTTCTCCCACGAAATATATTCCTTTACTAATGGGTTGCATACAGAAACTATGTATGGCTCTATATGGAAATATTACTTTAATAATCAGAAAATTTAAACCAATTGAAGGGTTTAGGTGAAATAAAGTAATTGCTAAAGTTTTTACCTCCAAAACCCAATGGCAGAAGTTTAGAAGTGAACCTTTGCATTAGGAGTACTGAATGCATATAATTTATTATTTTTTATTTTCTGAATGTGTATCTTGATGCATTATTGTTGAACCAATTCAGAAGAAAAACATTTTTAGTGTAAAGCGTTCAAATTTGTAGAGATCATGTGGGAGTTGTAGAAACCTTAATTTGTATCTATTGTGACACTATTGTGACATCACATTTTGTGATCCTAACTGTACAACTATGGCACTATAGTAATATTGATTTTGTTTCAAACAACAGTAATGCTCCCATGGCCAAATATTTTCACTAAATTGTATGTAAGAATGGAAAAGAATACGATAATTACAGGTATTAACAAAAACTTTCAGAATCATTGTGTGTCATAATAATTGTCCATTTCTGTTCATGGGTCAAGTAGTCACCTGACTTAAAAAGGAACATTGTTTTCTTACCTGTCTCACAATCTGATTGGGACACTTTATTAGAATCTGCATTGGCCACCAATCATCGTCAGCCATACGATCCAAAAACCACTGCAGAAGATACATACTTTGTTAGTTTTGTTCCAAACTTGTTCTATTCCAGTCTTGTTAAAGTCTGAAGAGAAATTGATGTTACTATTCTTAAGGAATAAGCAAGTATTAATCTAAGGGAAATTTAAACATCTATCCAGTATCTTCTTATCCCTGGATTCTGTATGCCATTATTCAGTTCTCTGGAAGGACACACTTATCCTGAAAAGTGATGTCAACAGAATAAAACATGATGCTTACAATGAAGCATAAGCTGAAGAATCTTGTAGAACAAGGATAGGCTTAAACAAGAATGCGTTCCTGAATTAGATCCCCTCTGCATTTCAAAATGTGGAAAAGCCTTACTACCTCCTGAGATAAAAAATGTATAAAAACAGAGGACGATTCACTCAAAGTTAGACTCCACAAATAATACAGCTGAGTATTCTGACTCCATAGTTTTTATCTTATTCACAAGGCAAGACAGTCTGAAGAATCAAAGTTGTTGTTCGTTTTATTTTAATTGTACCTGTGTATATTTTACTATATTAAACGTCTTCACTCATTTTAACCACACCAGGACTACACCATACTAATGAAACTGTATCACCTAAATATAGTTACATACCAAATTTAACAACCTAGAAACAATTTATAAAAGAACAATTAATTTAATTCATTTGTACTGAGTAAGGTCTAACGCATGATACAGCATGTATTGGGGTTCTTGTAAATTCCAACTATCACAGAAAGTTTATCACAAACTTTCCTTCAGTATCTCAAAATTGCTTTCACCAACAGCACAGTGAATTCTTTGTCTACGTTTTCTGAGTCCCTCTCTGTTTTGTCCCAGACTCCCTTCAGGCAGCATTCTGAAAAATTTTATATAAAAAACATTCCTCCATTTTTTTCCTCCTTCTGCTAGGAGTTTTCAGTCTCTTTAAACATTGGGTTCAAGATCCTCAGCTTCACAAGCAAGGCACTATATGAATTTTTTTTCAACTAAGTCTGACAGCAGCTGTTCTTATTCCCTTTCTAAGCTTCTTCATTGCACTACAGCCTATTATCTCACTGCCCTCGTCTCTGGGATTTAACTCCAGTCCCTGCCATTCTAGTCTTTAAAACGTTAGCTGGTCTTTCCATTTCTCTTGTGCAATTTCATTTAGACACCTCTTAATTACACAAATCTGCATGTAATAATCAAATAAAAAGGTTGTGACGCTGTGTGACTTCTGTTCTAGTGACGGAGTGATTTTGGTCTGTGGTCTCACCATAGGCTTCCGAAAATAAAAGTCAAGTCACTCCCCAGAATCTGCAGTATTCAGAGAGGATGAATTTCATCTCACAGTGCACAAATATGCCAAATATAGTAGTTCATAGTCCAAAATATTCCAGGGATACAAACCTCCAGGAAAGTTAAACAATATATATTACGTTGGTTTCTACCCTAAGTTCCTAAGCCACTTACTTCACAAGCTGCCTGACTGTTATTGAATTGTTTTGTTAACAATTCAATCCACTGAAGCATTGTAGGCTGTAAAAAGAAATACAGAAAAAAACAGAACTTAGAATAATAAATTGCAACTTAATCTTTAAACATTTCTAAATGGTCAGTTAGAACACTGAATCTTAAGAATATAGAGTTATAAACACTAAACACTTTATAAACTAGTAATATGTTGCACCTACACAAAAATAACTACAAAAATAACAGTACATATGTTGAAAGTAGTGCAAGTAGTACCTACATTTGGACTAATTTTCCAATTTCACATTATTACATATTCTTACTAATCCCAGACAATCTAGAATCAGTAGCATTACATCTCCGCAGATGAGAAAGAAGTAAAATCTGACTGAAGAATAGATTTTTCAGATAGAACTTTCTTGTTGTTCACGCTAGTATTTATAAATTAAAAATTAATGAGCACAACTGTTGTTCAATGGTAAACAATCCCCCTCTACATCAGACTTTAACCAGTGCTTGTTAAGATCCAAATTATCCAGGAATTTTCAAATGGAAAGAACACAAGATCTGTTGTTCCTGATGCATTGCTGAGGCAAAGGAGGCTAAAACCAGAACCCACTTTTTTTTTCATTGTGCAGTGTTTATTACAAATGTGTTAAATTACACTCTTTAAACATTAACTTCGTATCATCTAAGGTACTTAAATTATCTCAAAATCACACTTTTAAAATTAAAAAGCACAGACATACTTTTCACAATATTCATGCAGTTACTTAGTGAGGATTTACAAGTAAATAGAATACCTTTTCCTTTGAATGAATAAACGTCTCCAGTACAAAGGAAGTACTTAACTGGGAGGGGGGGGAAAAAAAGCACCATTAATTGTAGAATACCTGAATTAAAATATAAACAAGGTAAAATTTCAAATAAGCATGATATATTTTTTAAATATTTACCTTCGCTGTCATCAGGGAAACCGCTTTTGGATCTGGTAGTGTGCTTGGGATGCTACTACACAACTGCCACATAAACCTAGAGTCAGTAATTTTATTTGTTAATTAAAATAAATACTGAAAATCTGCAAGAAGAAAAGAAGCATTAATCTTATATTTTTTAAGAAAAACTTACCCAAAATATGTATGTTCAAAAATGTTCTTGTCTTGAAGAAACTGCATGTTATCATGCCATATCCACTGAAGAAAAAATGCTAACATCAGATACAAGAAAGCAGTTTATTTCACTACACAGGCATAATTTTAAGACTATTTAAACGCTTGCCATAGCTAAAAGAACATTTTTTTTTAAAATTAAAAATTATTTCTGGAAATATTTCCTTTATTTTACAAGATTGGCTCAATATTCAAACTATAGCTAATATTAGTTTTGCAGGCCATACGACTGCAGAACAGAGCTCAGAACCTTCTCCTCCTTCTGTGATTTCATTTTTATAACTTAATTACATTTTTATGCTAAAATTTTGAGAACTGTTCTAAAATGTTAAAAAAGAACCACAGTTTAAGACAATATTTTGATATCTGCAATAGTGTAATAACTTAAAAAAACCAAAAAAACTCTCTAAACACATAGTTTTACTAATTGAGATCAGTTAGCCTTTCCATCAACCTATCTAGTTATGCCTAAAAGTTGCAGTTCTGACCCAAAGCCTGATGAGCTCTGTGAACTTTTGATAAATTCTTAAAGAGCAGCATTTGGCTTGGTAAGACTGAGAAGGACAAAAAGTATGATCTGATTCACTGGCTAGGCACAAAGATGCTTTTTAAGTCAAGAACCTAACGTGACAGATAATAAAGCAGTACTTCAGTCCAGAGAGAACACGGAAACTGGCTTTTCAGGTGATAAAAAGGGAGACAAAGGTCTTACAAATCCCATGTTGGGGATATATCTAGCGAAATACTCTGCTCCTGTGTGCTGCCTTTTCCAGCTCCCTCAGACCATACAGGCCTTACATACTATCTTCATATAAAGGTATCCTAAGAGCAGCCCTCATCACTGAGAACAGGGAGATGTAGCTGTTACTGTTTTTTGTTTCCCCTACCCCTTTTACTAACACCCGGGCTACTCTATGACTATGGGGAGGAAGGGATCCTTTTCAGACTGATGCTCCCCATTAAAAGCACAAATAGCCACGATCTTATATTGCTTTCACTTAGAATTTCACAACCTGCTAGCAAAAGTGCAAACAAACAGCTGGAACTATTCTCTTATTCTGTCCTCCCTCAAAGCAGTAAGTTGCTGGGGAACTGAAGGATGAAAAGGATGGTGATTAATGGGAATACTTGCTGCAACATTGCAATTTTCAGAAAATGTTGATAAGCACTCACAAAAAACCAAACGAACAGTGCTCTACCATTTTTTACAAACATGAAGCAGAGTGATTCAGATATCCGAATTAAAAAAATACAGGACAAAATGAGAAAATGTCTAAAATTTACATACAGTGGAAATCTTAATTTACTTCCTATCAAACAACATTCTTCTAAGGAAGACAGCTAAATGAAAGGATTGTCACCTTACTGATGTAAATTTTATTTGCTTTCCTATGTTTGTTCTTATTCCTGATTTGTTTAGGATTTCCTGTAGTGTTTTAAAATTGGTGTTAAAACAAATCAATTTGTACCTCCAGCAATTCTGATGAAACATCAAACTTGTAGTCTTTGCCATTTTCCTCCTCCGGTTCCATCCGTTTATAAAATAGCATGTAAGCACTGTGCGTCTTTAAGGAAAAACAAACTGTATCATTTTTGCTTTGAGAGATAGATCATGAAAGTAGAAATTTAATCATATAACAAGTGTTTGGAAGAGAAATACCTTTTCAAAGGAGAAGTCCATAAATTTATCAGTAACAGAATCATAAGTTTTTGTCTGTCAAGAAGAAAGTAAAATCATTAATTACAAGCTTTTTTAATAGCCCGTTTATTGACAGTTTGAGATAAATGTGCAAGCAAACTATTTCAGGAACATTTATAGAGAAGCTGCTGACAATTTATTGCTTGCTCAAAGTAGCTGTCTGTCTTTTTTTTATTCTACAGTGGCGTATTCTGATTTTTCAGAGTTGCTATGCAATATTGTGACCTGTATCTCACTCAATTTCCTGTCTCATTCATCTTATTGACACCTCTTCTTTTTAGGCACCTAAAACTACTTTATCCATTTGCCAAACACAATTTTTTTTTTGTTTTATTTCTGCATATTCTCTTTATCAGATGAAAGGATTTTTCTTATTCACAGGACTGTTTCAGTAAGATACTGCATTATTAATAATCCGTTTATATAATGATAATTATAAGAAATGATCAATTCAAGCATAACCTGAGAACATGTGAGTGTTGTTCAACTAATATGTTGAACATAAATGTTCAACATTACTTGAACATTTACTACTAAATGTTGTTTGTACTAATACAGTATAAAAATATTCAGACTTATGGCAAAGGATGGTGGGCTGAGGCAAAAGATTACGCTGATACTGCGCTTAAAAACCTCACACTACTGAAAGCAAACAAACATCAACTAAAGAAATTTCATCTTCTTACAATAAAAGGAATAAGCAAAACTGTTTAAGACTGTAGATCCATTAGCTTGAAAATCACTTACTAATATCAGAGTTCAAAATTTCATGCTGAACAACAGTATAAGTTGTACACAGATCTGACAGGTTTTTAGCTCAGTTCTGTCAGCAATGAAAAATAATCCGTCTACTAAGAGGTTCACAGATCAAAATGTGAAATTATGGACACAAGGCATAGACAAAAATCAGAGCACCCTGTTTTTACAGAATAGGCAGAAGCTTGAAGTAATTATTCCTTCAGTCAACAGTCAGAGTAACAAAGCCAAGCGAAGGATTCCTAAATTAGTTACATACTCACTTTGTAATAAGTAAGTAAAATATATAAAGATAAAAAACAGATATAGTGAAAAAATACCTCTTCTTTGGAAAGAGACTTCACTAATTCATTTTGATTCATTAGTAATACCTATACTATACTTCTGACACCTGTCTGTTAAAACCCCATAAGAATATTTGGATCCATATTCACAAATTAAATAATATGATAGTTGGTACAGGAGAAATCAAGACTCTTCTCCTTTATCGTCTTAACTTCTGTTCTGTTGAAAGCGTAGAAAAACTATAAAGCTTTCATCGTTAGCTTGCAAGCAGTCTCACTTTGCCAAGCCTTTCATCCCTCAAAGAAGGGGGAGACCCTTCACACAGATCAATAGTGGAAGAAGTTACCTACATGAACATAAGATAAAGTATCACCCGCACAACAAAGATGTCAAAAGTTTAATAAAGCCCAGCTAACATTTCTAACTGTTTCATATACATTCACACCACATAGCAGACTAAAGGTGAACACTATGGAATCCTTCACAAAAGGCTTCAGAACAGGTATTGCAATAGTTGAACGTGAGAAAAATAAAAGTTGTAACTTACAGTCATTTCTCCACCAAAACATTCTGAAGCAAGCTGGGCAGAATCAAATGGTTTTACTTCAGCATCATTGAACAGATACCTGTAAAACATTAAGCTTTTGAAAAAACTGCTGTTTGTCTCTATGGGCAAGTAACACATAACAAGCACTTAAAATGATTCTTCAGGTTTAAGTATTCTTATTAATTTCTAATATCTTGTTTGAACCACAGCAAACTAAAAACTAATCCCAAAAGTGACTTCCTTTCAAAAAGATCAGGAAATCAGCATTTTAACAGTTCTTCATTTTTCTATGTATCAAGAGACACATTATTTTCTTCTTTTTTCCAGCCTGACTCCGGAACAGATAGTGTTTTAATGCAGCCAAGAAGATGTGCCTTTTCCTTTTCAGTCTGAGTGAAACGGAAACAAAAATTAAAAAGAGGAGACTCATTCCACGTAACAGTAGAACTGAAACTGGAAGGAGGCAGAGAAGATAGTACATTGTCATGGATTCCCTTTGGAGTAGGGATTGAGTCATGAATTGGAACAGTTTCAAAAGTGCTCCAGCTAGCTATTCTAGAGAACAGGAAAAAAGGAAATCCTGTCTTCTATTTCAGGGCCTCAGCTGAGAATCTGAGATATGATGTCCAGAAATGGCAGGCAGAGAGTGTTGCCTGCTTTCTTATGTCACCTAGCAAGACCCTTCTCCTTTCCATGCCCATGTCTCATCTCTTTCCCAAGCTGCTTTTCCCAACTTTTTATTCCTCTTCACAACCATGGCATGCCCAATGTATGCAGAATTTTCCAAATTAGAAGTGGGATGTCTAGTTGAAAAAAAATTTTTTTAAAAAGAAAACAGTGCATAGCATTTATTCATCTGTCTATCACTTATGTGCAAGAAGATCCTGTCTCTTTTTTTTTAATATTTGAAAAGAACGGATACAAAAATAAATGCTGACAAATATTCCAGTATGTCACTGTAAATTGCATCTAGAAGGAGCTGGCCAATAGGAAAAGATCACCAGCTAGATAAAACTTAAAAATCAAATGTGAAAACAATTCCACATATAAAAAGCAGACTAAGAACAGATTTAGATAACCTAGGTATTGTAACATAATTTCTGACACACAGGATGCAACGAGTTTAAAGTGAAGAAAAATTCAAATTGTTGTTTCACTGAAAATTGGCAAAATGAAAAGGACCAAATTCCGCAGTCATAAATGCAGCTGTATGCTCAAAGGTAACAACCAGATTTTACAAAGCACAGTCTATTAAATCTTATTCATTTCTACAGATAAAATAGAGTTGTTGATATTCACACTAAGAAGCAAGCATTGGCTGTAATGTGAGGCTAGCAGAACATTCTCCTGCTGCCCCTGTGCCTAAGGCACTCCACAACTATTACAGCTACAACAAACTTGTATTCTAATGAAGTAATATACTTACACCTACCCAACATCTTGTGCTTTTGAGGGAAATCTACAGCACTTCTCTCCTATACAACTGCATCTGACAAAGTCAACAAGTTTTAGCTACTTAAACATAAGGAATTACAAAATTTTTATTTGCTTAACTCACCACTTGTTGCTTTTGTAAGCATGGGGATTCACTATATCCCTGATAAAACTGTAGTAATGTCCACCATCTGCTGTTCCTGTATGCACCGTTACACCTATCAGATCGTATTCGTAACTTTCAGTTTCTTTCAAATATTCACCACCTTCCTTAAAACCTGAAATAATTTAATACAATATTTAATCAGTTATTTCCTAAACACCTGAACTTCAATATTACACATTTCCTGTAGTTTCACTTAATCTTTTTTTCTTTTCAGCCTCCACAAAGCTGACAGCCAGAAACTCCACATCTTGAACAAGCAGTGTAGATCCCAACAGCTTTTATTGCAAAGCATCACTACTGAAGAGATCAGAACTAATACCTAAGTTATTCCAAGTTAGCACATCTTATTTATGTTGGCAGTTAGTCAGCCATTTGCTGAAGTTCAAGTATTACCCTGCAAAATCAAAACAGGCTATGTGTAATTCCTCTCATACTTTAAAACCAAATTTAAGAATAATTCAAATTGAACTGTATATGAGAAGAAAAATAATTGGCTACTTTTCTCATATTAAATAAAATATGTGACTTTGGGAATACAGGTTGATTTAAACTTATCTTTGAAATCACTAATTGCTTGCATATGTTATGTATTCAGAAAGTGGTACACAGATGAAAGAGACAAAGCCTGTTGAATCCTTTTCACGAGGCATACCTTCTTTTCTGTCATTTTTTCCCATGAGGAAATCTTCAGTGTAAGGCGTCATATCCAAACGTAAAGGGAATGAAAAATGCGTATTGACTTTCTCCTTCATCATGGTTACCATATTAAATGTGTATCTCATTGTGTTGAAGCTTAGGATATGAGGTAGTTTCTTAAAACACGCCCTAAAGGATTAAAAATAATCATGATTTATGAAAGCTTAGTGGGCTGAATTGTATTTTCACAAAGATTTTCAACACATTTATTTCAAATATAAAATTAGAAATCTGTTGCTAAGTCACATAAATATAAAATTCAGCTATCATATTACCCTAGAGCATGGTAGTCTAACTAGCAGCAGCAAGGTAAGATTTAACCTATTGAATAATTCTATTCTTTCTTGCAAGAAATATCAAACCTGTTCATGTGGCATGAAAGACAGTTTTCTAAAATATTGTACAATGAGTCATGAAGGGATTTAACAGCGCAAATCCCCTCATTAGACGGAGTTACTATCTTGTAAGAGACAAGTTACAATGCAGAACATATCTTCTATTATATCTCATAACCTTCACAATAACGATTTTTGAGTAGATTACTCTTTCACCTATGTCATTTGTAACGGCTACAAAAACAACTATGAGGTTTTTCATCTCTAACAAATTTGTTAGTTGCAATATAAAGACAATATAAAACTTTTATTTAGCTTTCTTTTTATTAGCAGACTTTTTAAAATACGGAAACATTTTTAAAACTATTAATTCTAATTAAGAAATTTGGTGTTATGTATGAAAACTAACCAATTATTCTGTATAGTGAATAACACAAGTACTGAACAAATTCTGAAATAATCTGATCTTTTAAAAATGGAAAAGGTTACAGATTTCAAAAAGGTATAACTTTGACAAATGTCTTTCTATATACATTAAAAATGCTCTGAAACATTTTACTGCGTAGGTGAACTTTTGCTAAGATACATTATATTCTTTATTTTGGACATCAGATTCCATTTCGGTGAAGCTACTGAAGGTGAAGGGCACTGGAGCAGAGGCTCGCGCCGAGGAACCCTTTCTCCAGTGGCAAAACCGCAGCGGCGAGGCAGCAAAAAGCGCCGAGAGAGAGGACCTCCATATTTCTTCTTTCTTCGCACTCCGTTTCTCAATGCAAGACAACAAACTCTTGCAATTTTCTTTGATTTCCATCGCTATTTCTGCCTCAGTCTTATTTTGCACAGTCTCAGTTTATTTCTACACTTCTTGAACAAAAGGAGTGTAGGAATTTCTTTGATGACCATTTTGGACTCTGTTTTATTTGCTTGTCGGTCCCCTGTGTGTATCTTCATTTAAGAGGTTATTTATTCTCTCTGCTATGGAGCTCTTCTCCACATGATTTTTCTTCTCTAAGATATTTTTATTCTAGAATTTCTGTGTCATCAGCCTTGAATAAAATAGGACCTCCTACTCCTAAAGTATTTTGTTTCTCTTTTGAAATCAAGAATTTCAGTTACAGAATGTAATTAGATCATTAGCCATAATGGATTGCTTGCTGAGTGTTTTCTTGAGAATGCATGTGAAAGATCAGAAAGTGAGACAATATTGGAATGCTTTTTAGAGTTAATAAACTGTAAAAATGCTCAGATCCTAGCCTGGGTTTAAGTAAATGTATTGACTGTAAAAGACTATTTCAGTCTCTTCCACTGTCTTAGTTCTTCTCATGCAAGTTGCTTTTGTTTATCAGTGTTGCAGCTGAAAAGGGACCCATTGGAAACAATGATTTATGGAATTGTATCTTGTCACTGAGCTTCCAGGAAATCAGTAAATATTCATGACAGGTGAAAAATTAATATGTCATTCCTTAAGGGTAGCCTTTGGTGTTATGAAGATATAAGATAAAAGTCTGCACTTATAAGTATGTTCCCTTTATGCCAATAAAGACATGCCCATTTACTTCAAGACTTATTTTTGGATCACAATGTATAGTTGCTGCCCCATATGTTCCTGTAGATTTATGGATTCTGCTACCAGCATTTTTTAAAATTAAAAAAGTGAAAAGACTTGAGATATTCATTTATTGAAGGGCACATTTTTCATATTCTTTCATCAAGAAATATGACAAGAAGCTTATTATACTTAAGAAGTTGCCATTTAGTGAGAGTCCTGTCAGGATTTTACTATTTGGATGCTTTAAGTACCTGACATTTATTTTATTTTGTAAAGTAACACTACACAAAATTTTATATTTCTTAAAGAAAAATGGTCTTGATGATAAGTGTCTTTCAGATGAAAATAAAGGGTCAATTCTGAAACAGCTATGAAAGATCATAACATAGTCATTATGAATTTAAGAAGTCTTATGTTGAACTCTACTGAAGGTATCTTTCTTTACGGTGAAGTAAGAGCCATTAGCATTCTTACAAAAATCACATTCAATTTCCAAAATATATAAGCTCCAATAATTCAGTTCCATATATTCTACTAATTGTTTATAAAATCCACACTCACTAAATCTGAAGGATGAAAGAGCACACTATACAGATTAATGACTGATTCTGCAGATTATTGAAAGGCTGTTCAAAGAATCAAGCCACCTCTTCTCAGAAAAGTTCAGCTGTACTTGACTTCTGGAATCTGACATGCTCGTCATTGTTAGTGTCTCCTCTGGAAATATACTGGCATATTCTAGTACTTTTATCTCAAATTCTTGGTGTCAATCAATCAGCTTTTCAACTTGAACAAAGTGGGAAAATGTCATCAGGACTTGGAGCTGGTAAAACACAACAAAATTGTAGGAAGTTACGTAGCAGAGGAAGAGATAGGGGATAAGATATAAAAGAAGTCGATATGCCAAGGAGAAAAAAAGGGATCCAAATGCGAATTTTGGAAAGATAGAGCAAAGAAAAAGTGGAACAATATATAAATGGGTGCAGAGCTTGTATGAATACGGAAAGAAAATGTGCAGAAAAATGAAATTGAATAAAGGAGGAACAGATAATGCGTATCAGCTCCAGATTAGTAAACAGATATGGTCATATCAGTGTATAGAAGAAGGGAAAACTAAGAGTTCGAGTCACTTAAACAAAGCAGACTTTTATGTGGTATTAAATTATGATATTTCCATGTATATTTTTATCCAGACTTAAGGCAAAAGTTGAAACAGAGTAACACTGCATGGAACAAAAATGTTTTAAGACCTATATGCTTGAAACCTGTGTGTGTTTGCCAGAGCTGTTGATGTGCCTCATGGGAATTTTAATTCTGGGTCTTTAATGTCTCCTACTACAGACCAAATTGTATTTCCCATGAAGCATTATTGATTTATTATGCTGTAAATTCTGGGGCGCTATATAGTCAGTGGGAAATGGTGATGACAAGTCTATGAAACATAGTCTTCCTCAAAAATTCTGAAACAAAATAAAGTTATATATACAGCAGCAACTATTTTCAGTTTGAAATTAAGTATTTTGATTCAGGTTAAAGTGAAAGGTTTCTTTTAAATTGTGTTCATGAAGAATTTCTTCAAAATATTAAACATATTAACAGTAGACATGTATAAGTAAAATGGGAGATGATTCCTTTGGCCAGTCAGAACTCACTGGAGAGTGAAAGAAAATTCATATATTATATATAAGCTTTAAAAAATTCACGCAGAGAGGGTACTTCAATTTTTAAAAATCTCATTAAAAGTATTTAAATTTTAATAAATATTTACCACATGGTTATCTCTTCAAGAAACCTTTATTGGACTGCACAAGTTGGAAAAATGTTTTTCATTACTTCTTCGTCATCAACATGTTCTCTTCATTTATCACATTTACTTGTGGACATGAGGTCAACATGACCCAGCAATGTGTGCTCACACCTGGAGTCCTGTGTCCAGCTCTGGTGGAGCCCTCAGCACAGGAAAGACATGGACCTGTTGGAGTGGGTCCACAGGAGGGCCACAGAAATGATCCGAGGGATGGAGAACCTCTGCTATGTGGAAAGGCTGAGAGAGTTGGGACTGTTCAACCTGGAGAAGAGGAGGCTTGGGAGAGACCTTCTTGTGGCCTTTCAGTACCTAAGGAAGCTTATAAGATAGATGGGACAGACTTTTTATCAGGGCCTGTTGCGATAGAACAAGGGGTAATGATTTTAAACTAAAAGACAGCAGATTTAGACTGGATATAAAGAAGGCATTTTTTATGATGAGGGTGGTGAAACACTGGAACAGGTTTCCCAGAGAGGCAGTAGATGCCCCATCCCTGGCAACATTCAAGGCCAGGCCCTGAACAACCTGATCTAGTTGAAGATGGCAAGGGGGTTGAACTGGATAATCTTTAAAGGTCCCTTCTAGCCCACACTGTTCTAAGATTCTGGTTCTATGATTCTGTGATTCTACTTGTATCTTTAACCTAAATGACATTTAGTAATTCACTGATGTCTCCCCACACTAATAGGGCTTTTTCTTCTTGGATTCTAATCCTACTTTTTAGTCCTTTCAGAATACTTCGCATTAACTTCGCATTTTTCGACACAGTCTCCCATGATATCCTCCTGGGGAAGCTGAGGAAGTGTGGGCTGGATGAGTGGTCGGTGAAGTGGATTGAGAACTGGCTGAATGGCAGAACTCAGAGGGTTGTCATCAGCGGCGCTGAGTCTAGTTGGAGGCTGGTGACAAGTGGTGTCCCTCAGGGGTCAGTACTGGGCCCAGTCTTGTTTAACTTCTTCATCAACGACCTGGATGAAGAGTTAGAATGTACCCTCAGCAAGTTTGCTGACGACACCAAACTGGGAGGTGTGGTAGATACACCGGAAGGCTGTGCTGCCATTCAGCGTGACCTGGATAGGCTGGGGAGGTGGGCAGAGAGGAACCTGATGAGGTTCAACAAGGGCAAGTGCAGGGTCCTGCACCTGGGGAGGAACAACCTCATGCACCAGTACAGGCTTGGGGTGGACCTGCTGGAGAGCAGCTCTGCGGAGAGGGACCTGGGTGTCCTGGTGGACGACAGGTTAACCATGAGCCAGCAGTGTGCCCTGGCTGCCAAGAAAGCCAATGGGATCCTGGGGTGCATCAAGAAGAGTGTGGCCAGCAGGACGAGGGAGGTTCTCCTTCCCCTCTACACTGCCCTGGTGAGGCCTCATCTGGAGTACTGTGTCCAGTTCTGGGCTCCCCAGTTCAAGAAGGATGAAGAGCTACTGGAGAGAGTCCAGCGGAGGGCTACAAGGATGGTGAGGGGACTGGAGCATCTCCCCTACGAGGAGAGGTTGAGGGAACTGGGCTTGTTCAGCCTGAAGAAGAGAAGGCTGAGAGGGGACCTAATAAATGCTTATAAATATCTGAAGGGTGGGTGTCAGGAGGATGGGGCCAAGCTCTTTTCAGTGGTGCCCAGTGACAGGACAAGGGGCAATGGGCACAAACTGAGGCACAGGATGTTCCGTCTGAACATGAGGAAGAACTTCTTCCCTCTGAGGGTGACGGAGCACTGGAACAGGCTGCCCAGGGAGGTTGTGGAGTCTCCTTCTCTGGAGATATTCAAGACCCGCCTGGACAAGGTCCTGTGCAGCCTACTGTAGGTGACCCTGCTTCGGCAGGAGGGTTGGACTAGATGACCCACAGAGGTCCCTTCCAACCCCTACCATTCTGTGATTCTGTGATTAGTTACGTGCTCATTTGCACCAGGACTACATCCTCATAGGCATAACACAGTAGCAAATGGAATGAAACCACTGTCTTGTTTAATCTAAAAGATTATTCTAATTCAAATAGTATTTTCAGTAATTTACTAAAAAGAAACATTAGGAATGTTTAGTTCTCTTAATCATACCTTTTTTCAGCCCGCACTTTCTTCCCACAATGAGAACATGTATACATGTTGTCACCTTCCAAGGTATCTTTAATAGTTACTTCATCAAGAGATTCCTATATACAATAAACAAACAAAAACAACAACAAAAAGGAGTTTACATTTATCTTGGATATTTGTATCTTGTGTTTGCACAGCCTGCTTTACAAACTCCTCTCTTTCAATCTTGCAGTGAGTTTAATTAATATTTCCATAAGTTGTGAAAGTAAAGGTGGTCAAAGACACCAAAAAGTTTGCAAAAAGAGCATGCACCTGCACTAGGAGAAGAGTCTGACAGCAAAACCAGTTCCTAACGCAAACACGAAATTAAAGAACCAATTCAGAAAAATGGTACTCAATATTCCAAGCTGTCCCAAAGAATTCAAGAGCTTTAAATTAAAATTCCAAGCATGTGGATTAATAGTTGTTTAAAAAACTTGAAAACCTGAGAATTATTTTGGTGTAAGTTTTGAATTATCTTAATAAGCAATAGTACATGCAGCTATCAAATCTTTTGACATTTACAATTTTCTCCTATAAAACCTGGCCATAGCATTTTTAAAACACAGAAGGCAGAAAGTGATTACTGACTGTAACACAGTCTTTAGTCAATTCCAAATGGCACCAGCTGATAGCATGTTGCATTGAAAAGATGAAACGATTCAATCAAATTACCTAGTAATATCAATCTAAAAATACACCAAAACTACAGTACAGATACAGAAAGCATCAACATATTCAATAGCGTATGGTACAGTCTTTTATACTTTACTGCACCCATTTATAATAGTGATCTATGCTACGTCTCAGCCTGGCATTACTTACATAAATATTCTTCATATCTGCCACCTGGCATCTTACTGTATAGAACTCTTCAGCAGTCTGACTTACATGCTCACAGTCCTAAATCACAGCCATGAAAGAGAAAAGCAATGAAATAACTGTTTTGAGAAGTTAAAAAAAACCCCAAACTTAAAAAGATAAGGATAAGGAAAGAATACTTACCAAAGAAACAACATTGTTTGTGATAACACCTCCAAACAAACTTTTCACTGTATTTTTCTGTGAATGAATTAATAAATTCTGTCAAGGAAATTTGAGAAAATTCCAAAGTTTTCAAGCTCCCTCTTGCTCCCTCTTAATAACTCACCAGTTCTGGAGACATTTCTTCTATTTTTGTTATTAAGTCAGTGAAGAATTCAGTCATGTCTTTCTGCTCTCCAGTGTTCAGTGGCTGCTTATCCATGGTATAGGTTTTACAGAAAGGCCTTGGATTGTATGCCTTACATTCACTTTCCTTTAGGTAAAAAAATCAAGCAAACAAATCAACACATATCTTGTATTTTTAAATTACACAGATATTCTGAACATACGTATGTGAATGTCTATGTATGGACATAATTTTACACACAGTACCTCCATATGCCAGTTAGGCAACAAAGGTGTTTAAGTGCTTAAGTGCTTCTGATGAAATGTAAAGCAGTTTTTAACTAACTGATTATCATTATTATGATATTACGTATTAAAATATAATTTAAAACATTATTATATAATATTTAATACATACTTAGCAGAACGAAACATTAAAAGAACTTAGCTGAAGATGTGACACATCCAGTTTCAGCATATCTGCTCACATACAAAATACAGTATGAGGAACATCATATGTATTTATGTATTTCTGAACATTACTGACTTAAATCTTGACAAGTACTTAATTCTCATTCAGATTTCTCTGTCGTATAAAACCGTGTCATCTAGTTCTCCACTGCATGTGTTCAGTCAGAGAAAAGAATCTGCAGTATAAAGCAGTTCTTTAGAATACATCTCCCATTCCACTGCCTTGCACACTGGGAATGCAGAACTTATTCACAGCGGAAGGAACTTCGTTCTTGTAAACAACGATATACATACTATTTTCTTTTAAGGGTGTGTGGCAAGATGGTGCTTCCTGTAAATAGTATCTTTTTTGGAATAAAGTCTTTCTTCAAGGTTTTAATAATGGTAAATCTTCATATGACTTTATGTTCCTTTAATATTTTATGCTTATGTAAATATATATACATTTCTCTATGATTCATGGTAGGCATTACATGCGTAAATTCCTTTCCTCTATTTGTCTTCAAAGTGGTTATGAATTTCTTTCACAAAAGCCAGTGCCAAGAACGAAAGCACTCAGCTCTCCTCAGCTTTCTTTTTTCATTATTTCAATATTTCAGAAATGCTTCAATATTTTAAGAACAGTGAACACCTGGAAACTGCCTCAATTTTGTTACTCAGGCTCTGGAATTTTGAAATTTTTAGTTGCTTTTTAATGCTTTACTTCAACAGATTAACCTTTGAAACACTGGACCGTGGACCATGCAATGAACAAAAATAAAGTATTTTATTTTAACCCCAGGGTAACTGGGGTAAACAAATTGTTCCATGATTAAACAAAGTATCAAGCTCAGAACCCTTTACCTTGAAGTCTATGTGAAACAAGATGAATGACAACGGTGTTCGACAGACATTCATAGTAGAGCATTTGTTAAACAGAAAAAATAATTTATTGGGATCTTGACATGGTGTTCACATATGGAATCAAAACACCGTAACAGGGCAGTCAGTTGGTATTTGGTGGCAATGGAAGTCTGCGCCTAGGGTCCTTGCAGTGGTATCTTGAGTTAGATCTGGAGAGACTCCTCAAATCACTATTTTGCTAAATACTTATAATCCAGCTGCTAACATTCCTATGTGACCTCACCAGCACCTCTGTAATTCATTACTATTGATTCACCTTAACTACATACAAAGTATCTCTTAAATATCTTAAATCCATACAAAAGACTGTCCTACGCGACCATTTCTGCAGGAACAGTTTCTCTCAACCATTTACAAAAGTCAATTTGGAAATTGGACTAGATACATCAGAGGCAATAGTAGAACTGTCCCAGATTCCTTACTGGAGGGCTCCTGTAACAATCAGTCAAATACTTCCTTGAGAAGGTACAGTCAATTACCCAGTTTCAAATTGGTTCATTGTCTCAAGCCGCTCCATTGTCTGGCCAGGGAGCTCCTGGACCACTCAGAGATTAGCCATGTAAGTGCACAGGGTGTCCATACAGGGCACAGTCCTGACACCCAGCTACACCATGACTGTAACTTAAAAGAACACTTGATTTTCAAACTTGTAACTCATTCGTAACTGAATTCCCATAGCTATGGTAAACATCCTGTGTTCACCTTAGCATTAACATGCTGGTGGTAAAAGTATTAAATAAATGAAGGATTTTCCCGTATATTCACTTCAATAATATTTTTTTAAGAACACAGCAGACAATAACTATCGTTTTAGAGCTAGTGCTTGCTCATTATAGTCAGTGCCCAATATTAAACCCTATCTTACATTAGGATTTACACTGCCTCTTCATGAAAACTATTATACCAATGTTTGCTTAACTGATTTGCTGAGTAACAGCTTTAAAGTGGGTAAAAGCTATTTCAGTTAAGACATTCATTTACAGAACTCTGGCACAATGGACTTAAGCTTCCAAGAATTTACATATAGAATGGTAACTATATTTTCCTTGCTTTTTTCCTTCTTTTTAGGAAAACAGGATACTTTGTAAAATATCCTCTTTCGCACCTACCATTAAGTATGTAAACATTTTCTGGAGTTCTAGTAGAGTAGTCTTGTGTTTCATATCTTCTGAATACTAAAAGAAATTAATAAAAGAACACTTTATCTTTTTGTGTATAACTTTGCAAAAACAGCCCTTAAAAAGATGAAACAATGATCTTTTTAGATTAAAAAAAACACCACTTCATTATGGACAATTAAGAAAAATGATTGTGTACAAGAAAACACAGTACACTATTTTACACATATATAAAGGACTACCTACTTGTCTTTGGCATGTCAACATTAAACAAAAGTCAAAAAATTACTGTTTTATGAAAATTTACTACAGGTAGGAGCTTTTGGGTAGGTATTACAAAAGACCACAGTAATTTTAGAATAATTTTTTCAATTTATAGATGTTGTGGGAGTTCTGATCAACCCTCTATATAATGCATTTCACATGCAGACCAGCAGCGTCCCTCTTTTATATTATTTTTATTTATAAATGGCTAATTCTAGATGAAGTTAAGCGACAATAACTTCATGATAACAAAAAATGATGACGTCACTGCCAATTACGTTGTTTCACACATTATATATGCCCTGTTGATGTCAGGGACCAAAATGAAGCTTTCTCTTTTACAATAAACAGCTAGAATTAATAATATACTTCTGGAAGTTAACCAATGTATAATAATTTACAGGACTTGCTGCACTTCTGGTAGCATAAGATATATGCTCTGGGACTTTACAAACATTCAAGAAGGATGACATTTATCCTAACAAAATGACAAATTAGAAGCTAAGAAACAACGGACAATTCATGTGAAACCAAACTTGAATAAATCTAGTTGATAGCAACAGAAGTATGAGTCTGAGAACACTTTCTATTACAATGCCACCTTCAGAACCTACTACATTACAAATAGATTTAAAAAACCCCCAAACCTATGCACTTCGGACATCAGCAAAGGAATCCAACTGAACAAAAAGCAAACAAAAGTCCTGATCTACAGTCTACAGAAAGTCTATACTTGATCAGCATTTGCACTGATTTTAAATTTAAACTCCTACAAAAATCCACACAAGGAACATAAGACCCCAAAGCATACCTTTGCAGTAAAGATTGCTTGTCTAGCTTCTGGTATCATGTACAGTTGCTGAATAGTGGATGCCAAATAACATGTTGCTCCAAGATTAGTTAGACCCACAAATCTACATTCAGCACGAACATCATCATGTGGCCAATAATCCCACTTGTAAGGCGCATGGGAAGCTGTAAAAAATATGTATCACACATGCCAAAAAAAATCAATTCAAAGTACAATTTAATGAGATATAAAAGCTTTATGCTTATATTAATAACATGCATCCTATTTATGCATTCTGCATGTACAGACATGACCCAGACTGTACCTGCTCTTTAAGAAAATGCACTATAGGTACCATAAGGAAAATCACTTCGATACTGCAGCAAGCCTTTCTAGATGCCCCACTACTTTGGGCTGCAAGCAATCTGCTGTGCTCTCCAAAGCATTATTCATGGCAAGCATCATCTCTTACACTTGTTCTAGTGGCAGTATTACACGTAGTAATGGTCTTCCAGCCTCTACCTTTAAACTACAGTTTGGTAAAACCACATTATGTTTTCATTGTCAAGAACATCCATAAATTCTAAACATTGGCTGCTATGTGGTTTTCTTCATGCATAAGTTTTTTTTTTGTCACACAAGCCAATGACAGCTCTCTCACAACACTTGCACTACCTAAACCACTGAAAGCATACTTAATAACTGATAACATACAACACTTCAAGCTCCAAAACGTACACCAGTCATTCCCCCAGCACAAAAATTACTCATAGTTTCAACTACCCATTCCCAGACACCCCTATGTCACACTGAAAGAAAGCAAAACAGCCTCTGCACCCAGAGACTCAAATTAGGGAGCCTTCCCTTCACCTAACAAAACACAGATTTGGTATCAGAGATAACCACACATAAAGCAAGACTTTTCTCTTCAGAAGAGAAGCTGGATTCAGAATGGCTTCTACTATATTGGATACCAGGCTAACAAAAGATCTTTTTGATCAGTACAAAAAGACAGATAGATGTTTATCAGAGATAAGACACAAAAGTGCAGTGAAATAAAGTGCTTGGCTATACACTAGCTTGAATAAACTTGGGAACAGTTTTGATGAGAAAGAATGGTTTTTATTGCACTTCAAAGCCATATATACCAAAGGAATTTGCAATCTACAAGAAAAACAGGGGTAATCGAGAAGTGAATTGCCAAGAGAATCAGACTGAAAAGACATTTTATTTTCCTGTAAGTTTTCTATTATTCCATACTTCATAGCAGATATAGCAATCTGTTTCTTACACAGCACGGCACTAGACAAGCTAGGCAAGTCTGACAGACCCTTCCTAATAAGCCTTGTTCTGATATGGCTGCCAAGAAATTGGAAGAATGGGAAAGTCCTCCTCTTCTGCCAGTCAAAAAAATGGTAACCAGACTAGACAAACTGTTTGTAAGTGATTAGTACTGCTTCTAGGCACTGACAGGCTTTTGTTTCTAGCATCCCACGCAGAAGAATCAAATGGGGAATTAATCATTTGAGCTGCAGAGGCAACTAGGTGACACAAGCACTAAATTACAGAGAAACTAATCCGGTGTCCAAAGAAATTCACTGCAGTCTGTCTTCCTTTGTATGCAAGAAGTTTGACACAAAAACTTGCAATGCATCTAGCTTTGCTATTCATCCCCAAGAATATCGTTCTCCAAAAAGGTAAAGTGTCCTACAAATAAGGCAGCACCTCCATTAAAGCATATGTTCAGATATATAAAAAAAGGCAAAAAAGTAGTCTGGATTTGTTTTACAATCCACAAAAGCTACGTGGGGTCAAGATTTAAATTTTAAATCCTTAGTTCTTTTGTCAAAGATTAAAGGCTCATTAAGGATTCTTCTCAATTCATACTACCAGCTATAAATTCAGGAAACTATTTGGCATCCTCTGAACAGATCCTGACATCTCCAAGACCAGACCCACAAGACGTTCTGCTGCGCAACAAGTAATTGTTGCAATCCTCATTTTGGCATTGGCATCAAAACAAGAGAGAGAAGGAAAGTGTTTTAATTCTCCTGTTCCAACAAATCTGTTGCGTGAGCTTATGTTACCTGGTTACATTGGGCTCATTGGTCAGTTGAAACAAAGCTCTCCTCCACATTTAACCTCCTAAAGAGAGTAATTGGCATGGCAGAACACCACAGAATTCCCCACCTCAACTGAAATCCTTAAATTGCCGCATCTTAGTTCACCCTTTCTGATGTAAGGACTCAGCATCTATCACTCTGCTTATAAGCTCATCAAGTTGTAATTACAAAGAAATCAGATTACTTCTTTATACTTCATGAGAACAGTTGGGAGTATCTTCCTTCTCCCTCAATCTGACAAAGGCCTTTCAGAAATTTGGCAAGGACTTTCTCAGGCAGATCCTGTTTTCTCCACCCTCAGATTTTTAAGCAACTGTCTTAATTTTCATAATAAAAGCTTTCTTTCTTCCATATGGATTTTAACTAGAAAGGTAAATCTGAGCCTCATTTATGTCTATCTTCTTTATTCCTCACTGTCATTATAGGAATCAGCCTTTTCTCAGAAAGAGATAGGGAAACTTGTAATCAAAATTGCAATATTCACATTCTACTTTAAGCAAAATAAAACTAAACTTCTTCCTCTTCAAATGACCGTGCATTCCTCTATATTCCAGCTTCTGATCATGCTTCTGCTCAAAATGTAACATTGGACACTACCTTAGTTTCCCTCCTTCTAACTGAATGCTTTTACTAGTCTTTGTCTTTAAAGAAAGCAAAACTCCAAAACACTACAAGAAATTTTATGAACAACAGAGGATATCTAAATCCCTTGTTCAGTAAGATCAGCGTCTGTATTAATTGTTAGCCCTCCTTGTTGAGAAAAGTGAGGAGAAAAGTCAGCTGTCATCAGGTACTTGCAGTTCATTTCCTACAGTATCATTTGCTGAAAATGCATGAAGTTCAGCTAAAAACACTGTATCCGTGAAGTAGAAAAAAGCATGCAAGCACTTCTCTTCTTTCATCCATCAATGAAGGGAGCTACATTTGTGGAAAATTTAAAGAAAAATGCTGCTGCAGTTAAAACTTCACTACAACTACTTCACATTATTCAATACTAGTATAAATCTGAAGAACAGTATACAGTTGTACATTTTAATATGACTACCAAAACAGAATCTTAGTAACATAATTTTTAATTAGAATCCCATTTCTTTTTTTCCCAAGGAAAATGTACTAGATCTCCTTTAATAAGATGTCTTCTGTTGAAAATTTTACTTAATTTTGCTGCATTAAATTAAAGCTATCTCTTAGGAGCATTCTTGGCTTCAATCAGTTCAAAGTGTGAGAAAAAATGGTAGAATAGCATAGACAGTAATTGGTGACACTAGAGGACAACTATACAAGTGGCATGCTCGAAGATTTCTCCAACGCACCACAAAACTAAAATGCTAAAAACAAAGACAGGATGGACATTTATAATGTTTTCCTTAATATTTCTCCTAAGAACAGAGACACATGCCTCAGGCTAAGATTTTTAAAGATTTATCAGATTACAGAGATAAGCAAAGTGGAAAAATCAAGTTTTACGAATCTTTGGATCACATCAATGGAATAACAAGACTTTAAACAAAATAGGTATCAGAAGTCCTGTGTCAGCTGCACATCAGAAAAAGACAATGGCACGCTGCCAGCTGTCATAAAATTAACATTCATGAAACTGAGATATACTGAATATGGAGCAGAAGCACAGACCAGATGGCTCTGGAGAACTCAGGAAGAAATAAACAATCTAGAGAAGAGTATTTGGAAGAAAGTAACAACTGTGGTAAACGTTATGGAAACTTCAGCACCTAGAGAACTACTGGGAGTGAGAAAAATACTAGCTGTAAAAAAAGAATGATTGTGCCTGGAGAGATAGACAACCACAGCAGCAGAAGACACACTCACAGCCAAGAGAAATACCTAATATTTTCATAAAGTATATTCTTCATAATATTTTTCCTGAACTTAGGAGACTTTGGAAGCTTTTTAGAAGGCCCCAGGCATATGAGTACAGTACACAAAACATTGTTATGATCAGATTCCTTTTTTGCTTCCTGAATTGTAATCAGTTCCATAGATTATCATGAATTACAGATCCTCAGGTTACAGGAATTTAAACTTGGCATGTGAAAGGAAATGTATCAAGCTAAAAATGCATAATGAGAATTTGCAAATCAAAGATAAAATATTAACTAACTTCAAATTTTGGTAATTTACATATTATACAGAGAAATTGTGTTTCCAAAACACAGAAGCATGAAAGCCAAGGGGCATAACAAAATTGTATTAGCACTGTACGCAGTCATCTGGGTACAGACTGAAGTCAACTACAAAGATATAAGAGACTTTGAAAACATGACAGTGCTATTAATAGCGAATACATCTATAGCACCTCACGTATAAACGTACTGCGTTTCTTCACGTTAGAAAGGGAGAACAGAAATTAAAATCCAGCACAAGCCAATGAAACATGTAAAATCTACTCTAACGATGTTATCTATACGTTGGTGTCATTTAACAGGACAACATACTTTAAATAACTCATATTTAAGAACACGTAACCTAAAAATTATACATGGGATTGAATCCACTCATTTGCTAGGTGAGCAAAAGATGCCTACATCTGCGCTGTGACACTACCACAAGTGATGGTGGATAAGCTGAGCTACAAAGTGGAATTTTAAGAGCAGTGTTAGCAGCAACAATGTTTTACTTCGTTACTACTTTTAGAAAGTGGGACTATTCAGTTTAAGTCTAAAAATATTCTGCATTCTTAATAGATTATTATTTTTAGAAAGTCATTAAATGCAGACAATTCTGATGTGTTTCAGGAGGAAATGCAAACTCCATGACTGCAGTACTGTTCACAATGGGGGTTAGCCATCCCCATCGTAAACACGCAGTCTTCAAAATTGGAGTCCATATTACAAGTACACTCCTATTTTCTTTACTGAACTTTATAAATCCAAAAATTCAAAACAAAACCAAAATGAACAGAAAATGCAGATGGACTAGTTTTCCATAAAATACTCAAAAGCTATATATGAATAAAGGTTCTTACACTGCATATGTTGTGCCATAACCCAGTTGTGGAGCAGCCTGTAGTTTTCCACAGACCCCTTTACCATTTCTACTAACAAGTCATAGGCAGCAGCCCTTGAAGAATGCGACTTGCACTTCGGCTGTTGTCTGTCTTTCAAACTTGGCAGCAAGAACAGAAGATTGAAGATGTCTCTCAGAAACTCCTGTAAAACAGTTCAATCAGCACATTTAGCAATTTGAACACATTCTTAAAAGATAACAGTCACATACTAACAATCTTCTAGAAAATTCTATAGACTTTCTATACCTCTACCATTTACAGAACTTTCTGACTTGTACACAAAGTTCTGAATTCAACAACTTACTTTATACCACAAAATGCACCATAATCATATGATACCCTAAGGAGAAACAAGTCCACTGAAAAAGAATGACAAATTATGCTTGATTCATGATTGTGATATCAGACAGAAATATTCAAAGCATAGTGATGCTCAGGTTGTAACGATACAGGGCAGAAATGCTTAGGTCATAGTGACATTGTTTAATTTAGGCCTCACTACTTTGTATAAACAATGTATGCCTTACTAACAACTATGCCTTTGAAGAGGAGCTAACAGACTGATAAAAGGGGAACATCCAGCCCAGAAGGCGCCAAAAGCTGGATGACTGCCGAAGAAGCACGAAGTTAACAAGTATCTAGGGTAACTAACAAAAGGGTAAAGGCAGCAGGGGGAGAACATGACCACTGACTCAATTCAGAACCAGAAAGGCTGCACCCCCCCCAGCTTGTGAGCATGCGTAGTTAAGCAGGGAAGGAGTATACCTCTAAGATAAGTGTGTAATGCAATGAACCAATTGGAATGTAATGAGCAATTTCTTTGTTTTTGTAAGAGTATACAGTCCTTGTGATTCTGCTAAGCGGTGAGCTAGCTTTGTAGAACTATCACCTAGCACCGATATCTGCACAAATATACAATAAAGACAATACCTCTGCTCTGTGTGTATATTGGCATACTGCACACCAGGTAAACGATCCCACTTTAGGGACAAGAACTGATAATTTAGTTAAACTACACATACGTGTATTTTTAGTAACTTTAAGACTAGTTTCTTCTAGTGAAAGACAGCACATAAACACTCATTTGAATTTTATGAATCACTAATTAATCTTAAAAGATGCACTAAATTATGTACCATGTGCACTTTAAGTGTATTTTTGTATTGTTTCATGTTTGGAATATTAACTGAACTATAAAAGGCCCAAAGAATAGCTGTACCAAGTCAGGTTGCCTTTAGATAATAAATACAGTCTCTACTGTCCCAGACTAATACACTAAAAAAAAAAAAAAAAAGAGATGGATCTGTCTAAACTTCAGTACCTTCTTTCGTTGTAGCCAATTCATTTCAAGAAAATTAAACCAAAAGTAAAATATTAAAAGGATAACAACAAAAAAAAAAAGAGATGATCTGTATCTGTACAGGTCTGTAAAAACATGTGATCATACTCTTCCACAACTACAGCACCTTCAAATAAGTGCATAATTGTGAAAAGTTTTTCCTTTACCTTTCAGTTACAAAGTGAACCTTACTAATTAGTCATTTCAGTGGTATAATGAGAGACTATAAAAGAAGAAACTGAGCAGAATATACAAAGCAGTATTTCAGTAAGTTTCCTTAAGCAACCTTTCCTTAATGCATTCATTTGCATACTTAATATCTAGGGCTGATGACATGATCCACAGCTTACTTCACTGCTTCTGTAAAAATGTCTGCAATCTTAACAAGCTGTATTTAATCATTAAATCATATTAGTAGTATATCATTTTAGTTGTCTACATAATGAGACAATAAATCCTCTACCTCTGCGGAATTTGGGTTGCTTTTTTTCCCCAAAGATATCTTTTTCAAAGTCTTCTAGAGACAGAATTCTTCCCCCACTTGTAGAGCACAGGCTACCAGTCCAGCTTCATTCTATAATTTCTACACTGTAATTAAAAAAATGTTCTTCCTGTGTTTCCCCATTCAGGTATATTCAGTTAAGAAGCCTTTTAATGTTAAAATGGCAGGCTCTGCTGTAAAATCTAACTAAATTCTACATATTTCAAAAAAATGGCATTCTGCAGAGTACCTAGCAAAATCACCATAAAGCACCTTGTTCCAGTGTGCAGGGAAATCCCTATAGTCTTAATACAAAAATCTTATAACCACGGTCTTATGTTTATAGCCAAATAATATGGAGAGGTCTTCTCCTGGCCAATATAGTGGAAGAAAATTCTTCCAGATTTCTCCCCACTTTGAAGAAAGAAAATGCATAAAATCAAAAACAAACATATACCTGGTTTCTTGGTAGTTAGCCTGTATCAGGAGTGCTTGTGGGGCAGCAGGTCCGATTCCTTTTCATTCCTAACCATGCGTGTTGGGTGTAGATGATTACACTTCACCAGCACACCAGTGGCATCTACTAAGTGGAGTTTTAGACTCCGCTTTCAGCTGCAGCCTAGTGCTGTGCTGCAGCCTTTTTCAAACAGGTGTTTCAAACACACCAGCCACCTTAAGGTGTCCCAGACTAGAAAAGCAGTAACTTCAGAGATCTGGATCTATCTTTTTCTGATTAACATTCTCCATCTTGTATTTACGCTAACTGAATTCTGGCATGTTGGAGCAGGGAAGACAAAGAATGCTACATATGATTTTGCTCAGAGGCTGAATGCAAAATCCCCATCTTGTTAAAAATGTATGTCTTTATCATCAAAGCGGCCTTCAAATATAGCTTTCTAGTGAAAATGTGCTAGCCAGTGTTATGTTAAAAATGTATTTTTGTCCACTTAGTGCAGAATAAGGTAGGTAGTGATTATCTATAAAAGACATCAAAGAACGTAGATCGAGTACACTGTTCTCACAAAATGTGACAGTTTTTACAGTATTTGCCAAACAACAATTTTGTTTACTTAGTAAGAGAAGGAATATGTAAGGAAGAAAAGGCACAGCAGAGCATCAGAATCCTCTGGGCAAGTCTAAACTATCTTCAGTATTTGCCAGTGTATTTTCCTAGATATTTTTTCACCAGCCTTTGCTCAAGGGAGAGCATGTGGTTTCACAATCCTGTTCTATTACACTGAATACAATACAAAACTATTCACTAATGTACTTTATAATGTGCAGTTAGTGTTTTTAATTGTACATAGGATTAAAGAAATTAATACTAGATCACGACTTAGTCTCAGAAAATGCACTCAGTCCCTGTCTCTCAGCAAAGCCAAATTCTTTTTGAGAAGCTTCCTGTTGGATATTGTCTTCAAATGAATCAAATCAACCTTCTGGCCTCCCTGTGATATACTACATACATGCAACATACTTTAGAGTTCTGTATAGTATCCGTGCTCTCTACGTAAGTGTCCCTTTTGTTTTCTTCTTATATTTTTCATATATCCAAGCCATGTGAATCTGATCTTTGCACGCCTCTTCAATTTCAAGTTCTACATCATCCTTCACACTGCATTTTGTGAGTTGAATTCTTGCTCCAATTTAATCTGCAAGTTCTCCATACGTAAAATATACATATTCCAGGAAAATTACATAGCAGTAGTCTTTTAAAATCTTTTAAAAAGCTGTCAGCAATGTAACTTTGTTACATAGGGCACAATGTGGACACTATTAAAACATTTGGACAGTAAAATTAGCTTCAAGGCCATTTTACAGTAACAGACAGAGTACACAGATAGGATATATACAACATAATTGGGTACAGGGGACTATTTTCCTGGAGAAACTTCACTAAAGGTCCAGTCATAAGCTCAGTACAGTCTAGAGAACAAAATATCAATTTAAATTAGCTTTCAAACCAGGTGAAAACATCAGTTTAAGTCAGCTTTTACACCAGGAATTTTAATATTTTTTTCAGACTATGCGGCCCCGAACCACAAAGTAGAAATTTTTTAGCAAATTCCCCTGTCTAGCCACTCTCCCGTCTTAAAAGCCCAGGTGGAATGTAATATATCAGTGGACGAGTGAACAGCTACGGATGTGATCTATCTGGACTTCTGTAAAGCCTTCAACACAGTCCCTTACAACATTCTTCTCTCTAAATTAGATATGGATTTGATGGGTGGACTGTTCGGTGGTTAAGGAATTGGTTGGAAGGTTGCAGCCAGAGGGTAGTGGTCAATGGTGCGATGTCCAAATGGATGCTGGTGACGAGTGGTGTCCCTCAGAGGTCCGTACTGGGACCGGTGCTATCTAATATCTTCATCAATGACATGGACAGCGAGATTGAGTGCACCCTCAGCAAGTCTGCAGATGACACCAAGCTGGGGGGTGCAGCTGACACGACAGATGGTCAGGATGCCATCCAGAGGGACCTGGACAATCTTGAGCAGTGGGCCTGTGTGAACCTCATGAGGTTCAACAAGGCCAAGTGCAAGGTCCTGCATCTGGGTCAGGGCAGGCCCCGCTATAAATACAGGCTGGGGGATGAAGGGATTCAGCAGCCCTGCAGAGAAGGAATTGTGGCTACTGGTGGATGAAAGGCTGGACAGAGCCAACAATGTGCGCTCACAGCCCAGAAGGCCAACCATATCCTGGGCTGCATCAAAAGAAGCACGACCAGTAGGTCAAGGGAGGGGACTCTGCCCCTCTACTTCACTCTGGTGAGACCTCACCTGGAGTCTTGCATCCAGCTCTGGAGCCCTCAGCACAAGAAGGACATGGACCTGTTGGAGCAGGTCCAGAGGAGGGCCACAAAAACGATCAGAGGGCTGGAGCACCTCTCCTGTGAGGAAAGGCTGAGAGAGTTGGGGTTGTTCAGCCTGGAGAAGAGAAGGCTGCAGAGAGACCTTGTAGCAGCCTTCCAGTACCTGAAGAGGGCCTATAGGAAAGATGGGGACAATCTTTTTAGCAAGGCCTGTTGTGACAGGACAAGGGGTAATGGCTTTAAACTAAGGGAGGGCAGATTTAGACTGGATATAAGGAAGAAATTTTTTACAGTGAGGGTGGTGAAGCACTGGAACAGGTTGTCCAGAGAGACAGTAGAGGCCCCATCCCTGGAAACATTCAAGGCCAGGTTGGACAGGCGTCTGAGCAACCCGGGCTAGTTGAAGATGTCCTGGCTCTCTGCAGCAGGGTTGGGCTAGATAGATGATCTCTAAAGGCCTCTTCCAACCCAAAGCACTCTATGATTCTATTATTCTATGATTCCTGTAACAGGGGTCTCCCACTGTGTAGATGTAGAGATTAAAAGCTACTTTTAGATCACAACTGTCCCAGGATATGGTTAAAGAGCAGCTGTTGTTAAGAACTTAAAACCAGTTAATGGTGATCAATACTAAAAACATTTAAAGATAATAAATGAAAATGAACAAAATTTCTAGTATGTAATAACTCTATCCTGAAAATAAATATAGTTAGAAAGGGAAGGGACTGTATGTGCTACTTTTTAACAAAGGAATGATATGTGTGTTTTTATCCATCATCCTTAGGCTAGAAATATGATATACTCTCACATATCAAGCCTTCAATCAAAATGGTTGAAAAAAGGTGAAATGAAGAAAGTATAATAACAAGAGTTGACACTATTTTGATCGCTTTGCAGTCTTTCAGTGTCCTTTTCTTACCTGGCCTTCACGAGAAAATTTAAAGGGTGGTTTGTGCTTAATAACACTTGTTGCAAGACGAAGTAGTCCTGTAAGTCCATCATCTTCTATATTACCATCTTGATGGTCAAGGATTTCTCTGCTATACACATATATACAAAAGAAATGTTAAAACCCTGTCCCACTAACAATAAATACAATGCAACTTACAAGCGAAATTACCGTTAGCAAACCTTACCTCCGAATGCAATCAGCAAGATGTCTTGCTAGTGCATCTAAATCAAGCAGTGTTGTCTGATTAAAAACAAAGAAAATAGAATATAAATGGAAAATAATTATGTACTTCATGAAATACAATTTATAAGCCTAGTCTGAAACTATGGTTATGCTTTTGTATGAAATTTTGTTACTGCACACAGAAAACCAGGGACAATTAAAACCCATCTTTCAAACCTGCTTGCAACAATATTTTAACACATTTTATAAATGTGATGAAACTGGTTTTTAAAATCAATGCTGTATAGTTCAAATGAAGTAACATTAATTCTTTCAGTTCTAGACCCCACAAATATACTGTATCTACCATACAAAAAAAAAAGGAATAGTACAAGAAAATTTACAAGAGAAGTGTTTGTTATTTCTCACAAGAACATATAGTTTGTCATCAGAAGGCTGAAAAGTCCCAATAGCATTTCTTGCTTGAGCAAAACGCAGAAGTAGGCAGAACTGTAACCTAGCTAAGAGATTCAATTAATAAAACAGAAATGGAAGGAAACTGAACAGAGGAATGATGGTGGGAGAGGAAGCAAAATTTCTGCCTCTACTGAAAACATCCAGAGTCAGAAGAGAAGACGACTTTTCCACTCTGGAGAAACCAGGATTAAGGCTTTATCTTTCTTCCCTTCCCACACTGCTGCCACAACACTGAGAATGAACTAGAGTGCTTTATACAGGGCCACCAGACAGCACAAGCAGTTTCAGTTTGCCCAAAAGGTAACTTTAACCCTTTAGAGAGGTTTCAAAAGTTGTGAATAAGTTTTCTAAGCTGTTCTAAGTGGCTGTTAATCGAATTTTTTTCCTCTTTCAGCTTTAGCCAAATACTTGATTACCTTCTCCTTAGACCGCATTGAAATTATCAACAGTGCATCTCTCAGATAATTAAAGTATTCCCAATGTCTGTTACCTTCAGCAAAGTTTACCCTCTTTGTATATTACACCCATTCCTCCTTCTTGACTCTAGAGGTTCAGTATCTGAAGCTTCCTTTGGCCAAGAGCTACTAAATACACATCAGAGAGTAAGGAAAGCTGGGAGATGGGAAAGATCCAAGAGCCATTCAACAGCAGTTCACCATATCTTATGACAAATGTCTCATACTGAAATAAAAGTGACCTGAATACCCAGATTTAGAAAAGCCAACATTCATATGAATGCAAAGCAAAACCTACCTGACATGCATCTTTGACATGTATGTTATCAATCAGTTTGCACAGCAACCAAAAATATTCCTTACAACCTGGTTGCAGCACTGTTTCTTCTTCATAATCCTCTATCTGTGAAAAGAAATTTCTTTTGTTCTGAAGTACATCAGACAAAATAACTGTATTAAAAAAATGCAGTAAATCCAGTAATTGTTACAAGAATATTACTTTCTACAAGCCCCTCTTTAAGATAAGCCAAGCACAAGAACAAGGTATTTTACAACAGTAACAGTGCAGGTTCTATTTTTCTTCCAAAGTATTTATTAATATTCCTGAAAGATTATCAGGAGGATCTGCCAGACACTTAGGGAAAAAAAAAATGGTATTGACTCCATCCTAACCACTGCAAATTGCAAAATTTTTAATATTAAAACTACACAAAACATGACAAACTTTGACTGAATTCAACATTAGTTAGTACAACTCTTAATTTTACGATCTTCTGAAAATGAGTGAAATAATGCAAACTCTTCAGTAGATTTTTAAATATCATATTCTGTATTTTTAAAAATATCAACAGAGTTTAAAACGAAAGCAGACTTGAACAGAGTGAACCATTCCAATCTGAAATCAATCAAATGCCACACAGGATCACAAGATATACTGCCTGACAGACCCAAAATCCAGGTTCACGCTTCCCTGCCATACAAGTCTATACCAGAGCTCTCCTTCAGATCTAGCTACACCAGCTGAAGTCAGCAGTGCCTCCCCTGACAAGCATTGCTACATCTACAGTCCTTCATTGACTTCAGGCAAAACCATCCAGGTTAGTTCAAACCATCTCCACATATATTAACAGTGAGAACTCCTCCTCAAGTAGCTTTGACAGCATCCACAGAATCTCTTCTATTTAGTAGGGCTGTGAGGACAATAATACTTCAACTGAAAAACAGCAGCAATTGGCTGGGGAACAGTAACATTCAGCCACAACAACTGAGGGTACCTGATTTATTCATGGACTTACCTATGTTTAATAGAGGAATTCAGGCATATATTGAAAACACAGCTGTTATTCCCTAACAGTGTTTTATGCAGACAATAAAATTCCAGAACAAGAGCACTTTCCTAAATGCTATTCTGCATTTCTCCAAGCACAGGCAAGCTCTAAATTACTGTAGTGTCACAGCTTTAATCACTTTTGTGAAGCTTCTGAAAGCATCTAAACCATAAATCTTAATATCTCAGTGCATCAGAAATGTCAGACATAATGATAATATATGCTACCATTTTTTTTTTATATTAACAAAACTATGTTTAAATAGGTCTTTGATAAAGTCTTGTAATTTATTAAATTCTTACCCGGATTGGTTTCAGAGCTTGAGCATCAGGAAGAAATTTTAACAATGTTGATGCAGCCAGCAGCAGAAAGGATCGATTAATTGAGTCTCCTCCATCCAGACCAGAGAGAGATAACTTGTATAAACCATTGCAAGATTCATGGCGAACAGCAGTCTTTATGAAAAATACAAGAATTAAATGATTACATGCATTATTTAGAAGATCTTTTCTTTTATTGACTTTTCTTTCATATGTACATAATTAAGTTCCTCTCACAATACCTATCAGCTTATCAAGGTAGAATCTGTCTTTCTAGAAAAAGTATTATGAATAACTACATTTAAATTACTTACAGAAAATTGCAAAAGACAGTGTTCTAAAAAAACAAAAGAAAGCTGATTTGTCTGTGCCCCTTGTCTCTTAAGGTTTTCTACAGTAAAGATTACAGCCAGTTACTAAAATAGAAAATACCACATCTGGGCAAACTAGGGAAATCTTTGTGATGCTGGAACCTATACTTAACTCATTCCTAACTACATGGTTAATTTGTTTAATTTCACTAGAAGACTTATTAAGAAAAATATCCATAGACTATCACTAATCCAGCTTTGGCAGTTTGTACTCTTTTTTTTCCAGGGTTTTTAAATGAAGTCAGCATATAAGCTTTTTCTGTGGTTGAGTAATAAAGCAACAGACAACAACTATCACATCATGTCCATATTGCACTAGTAAATACAAAAATCTTCTACTATACATATCTTTATGCAATTTTCAAGTTTTTCTTATATTAGTAAAAATTACTTAAAGCTAAGCAAAGATTCATTTTTCTATCAACTCTTATTCACCTCATTTTGTGTTTAGCTGGCATTATTCAGAAATTTCAACAAATTACAATTAAAAAATTATCTTCAAACAGAAGCCAAAAACAAAGATCAGAGTTTAAAAACTGGTTAGCAATCAACCACAAATATGCCATCTTACACAGCATTTTAACTACAAGTGATCATTTCTTAAACGAGATTGCAAGTAACTGAGTAAGACCCTGCTTACATTTAGCAGGAAACAACATGTTTTGAATTCAATGGAAGCTTGAAACTAAAGTTAATCTTGTTCCATGTTATGCACTGATTAGTGATGTACTAACTTCTCCTTTAACATACCTCTGGAATAAGAAGGGTAAGTTTCTTTAGCCAGTCTTGCAAATGATCACTGTCTGCCAGACAGGATTTCACCAAGGAACAGCAGTGAGCCCAACTCACCAAGAGCCACATTGAATAATGAGTGACTGAAAGGAAACAAGGTAAATCACACTGTAACTAACAGAAGAGGCTTTTTAGGTTGAAGAGTTGCACAGTTCTAGCACACACAACATTTATTTCAGTCATACTAATGTACAAGACTAAATCCTTACTGGCACATAAGATACTACCTAAACTCAGAATTTTACCAATATGCTTACTAAATACTGACCACTGTACCACTGATGACAATTAAATTAGAATTGTTCAGGTATTACCAGTCTGGGGCACAATCCTTTCCTGCATCTCTACATTTTATGCAGTGAGCTGGTACTTTGCTAATGGGCTGCATCATGTTTTAACATCAACATTTCCCTGGACTAACTAGTATATCTGTTCCTTTCTTCTTAACAGCTAGGAGTAAGACTTTAGTACGCGATACTGCAAATTTGAGTTTCATACACTTTAACATCCACAGGGAAGAATAAAGCAGAAAAAATGAAAGCAACGTATAAGCCTAGGAGGACATACCTGTCTTTATGCATGCCTGTGCTGTATTTCTGACAATTACTTTGATATAGACATAATCTGACACAGGTCATTTAGACCTTTTGTAAGAAACCAGCTCTTCTGGAGATGAAGGCATAGCTACAGTACAATATTTCAATACATATAAAACAATTTCCAGAGAAGGAAAGCCTCTTTGTGTATTGCCACCTAGATGTCCAGAGGGATCTGGACAGACTGGATTGATGGGCCGAGGCCAACTGTATGAGTTTCGACAAGGCCAAGTGTTGGATACTGCACTTTGGTCACAACAGCCCCATGCAACACTACAGGCTTGGGGGGAGTGGCTGGAAAGCTGCCTGGTGGAAAAGGACCTGGGGGTGTTGGTCAACAGCCAGCTGAACATGAGCCAGCAGTGTGCACAGGTGGCCAAGAAGGCCAATGGCATCCTGGCTTGTATCAGGAATAGCGTGGCCAGCAGGAGTAGGGAGGTGATCGTGCCCCTGTACTTGGCACTTGAGGTGCTGTGTTCAGTTTTGGGCCCCTCACTCAAACACAGACATGGAGGTGCTGGAGTGTGTCCAGAGAAGGGCAATGAGGCTGGTGAAGGGTCTAGAGAACAAGTCTTATGAGGAGCGGCTAAGGGAACCGGGACTGTTTAGTCTGGAGAAGAGGATGCTGAGGGGGGACCTTGTTGCTCTCTACAACTACCTGAAAGGAGGTTGTAGTGAAGCAGGTGTTGGTCTCTTCTCCCAACTAACTAGCGATAGGACAAGAGGCAATGGCCTCAAGTTGTGTCAGGGGAGGTTTAGATTAGGTATTAGGAAAAATTTCTTTACTGAAAGAGTGGTCAGGCATTTGAATAGGCTGCCCAGGGAAGTGGTTGAGTCCCCATCCTTGGAGGTGTTCAAAAAACGTGTAGATGTGACATTTCGGGACATGGTTTAGTAGGCATGGTGGTGTTGGGGTGACCGTTGGACTTGATGATCTTAAAGGTCTTTTCCAACCTATGATTCTATAACAGCTCTAACACCACCAAGGAACACAAGTTTATAGCATTCTAAGGGTGGAATAAAACAAACGTAATTTGTTATCTTCAATATGTTTTCATTACTATTAGTTCATAACATACAGCTGTTTTGCAGCACTAACCTTCATGTCTTGATCTGTGATCAGACTGAGCTTTCAACACCCTGAACAGGAAGAAGATAACGCCATTTGAACTTTATCATAGAATGTAACAGATTATCACTTGCAATACAAGTACACACATAAGTAACAACAGTTGCTATTAAGTACCCAGTAAGAAAACTAAAATTTTAAAAGGATGCATTACTTCCAGTATTCAAAATTAGCAACAATAGTAAGACTACAAAAATCTTCAAGTCACCCTGATAAAGATTTACTGACTACAAATGTCAAGAAGAAATACCCACAACCCCTTTACTTTATTCGAAAAAAGAGATGTAAAACAGAACTAAGAACTGACCCACACAGAAGAAAGCTAGTATTCTTCACAGAGAACCGCACTTTGAACAAACATTTGCGAACTTTAGACAAATTTTAAATGTATTTACTTAATTTTTATAAAGTATATTACAATGTCATGAAACCAAAACCATACTGTATGCATTTAAAATTACTCCTGCAACTCAGCTAGAGGTTAAAGTTAGGCACACTTGCAGACTTGACCGGAAATTCTCTGAACGTCCTTAACAATCTTTCAAAAATATGGTAAAACAGACTATCCATTGCTTGCAGTCAAGTAATTCTACAACACTAAATGTAGCAAAAAACCTGACCTCCCTGCCATCTGTCCAATGGTCATGATGCAGTCTTACACAGAATTGCTTTTCTCAGGACAAAAATCTCTAATAGCGTGTTTCTGAAGGTAAAATTTTGCCTTCAGTACATACACACTCACTTAAATAGTAAGGGTAATTTCAGCAGTAATAAGCTAATGTTACTAGGATGGAGGAAAAAAGCCAAAACTGGTAGATGACTAAGCACCTTAAAAGTGAATTTATTTTAATTTCTCCTTTACACTGGCTTGAAATCAAGAATACTAATTGCTACAGATAAAACAAAGAAATAGTTCTGGCATGGGAATTTATGAGAGCATACCATATATATTTTGTTGCTCCATGTCTCATACCCTGACCACTGAGAGTTCTTGCCACTCTCTTCTCTCTCACTCCTCATGTAAGGGTGGGATAACTACCAGAAGAGCTGACTAAGAAAAGGAAGTCTAATGTCTATAGACTTAAATTTCTGTTATGGCTGTTAATGGGGACTACAACTGAAAGGACTATTTACTTTATTTAAAGCAGCAATGAAAATGTGCATACTTGATTAGCTTTATTACAAAAATAAAAAGATATTGTACCTAGGTGCCAAGTTGTCATATGTATAAGCAACTGACATAAGTCGCTGAATCAAACTGGTTCCCTGGACAAGTACAAGAAACACCTTTAAAAATTGAAGTCAAAAGAAAAAAAAAAACCAGTTAATATAACAACAAGCTTTTTGATCTGTTTTTAAATTATACACACTGTGTGAATCTAAAACAAACCCACCTGTGGAGAGGGCAGAAGAGCAAAAGACAAAACATAGCATCTCCATAGTTAAAGCTTATATCGGTTTTCATTGAAGCAGCTCTGAAATCCTGTGTTTTGTTGACTTAACTCTAGATGCTAAAATTTCATTCTATTTCTCTAAGAAAGACAATTTAACTGAATAGAAAAATCAACCATGTATTCAATCCTTTTAGCAAATACACAGTATATTTGTTAAAAGCATAGACTATTCACTTCATTTTTAAAATCTTAGGCTTGATGAGGTTGGATATGTAAATTCCACCTCTCTGTGATCAACATGTTTTATTGACTATACATTCACTTAAATTATTCGTCTTTAGAGGGCCTGACAGGCCACGCAGAATTTTCAAATCAAAGTCTTAAGAAAGTATTTTAAATATTTAGACAGCAAATCCACTGCAACCAAAAATATTCATTAACTGACAATCAAAAATGTAAAACCAGTTATAGAAACTGGTAGCAGCACACAACCAGTGTTAAAAAAGTTAATAGACTTGATAATTTCATAGAATCATAGAATGGTTTGGGTTGGAAGGGACCTTAAAGATCATCTTGTTCCAACCCCTCTGCCATGGACAGGGACACCTTCCACTAGACCAGGTTGCTCAAAGCCCCATTCAGCCTGGCCTTGAACACTTCCATGGAAGGGACAGCCACAGCTTCTCTGGGCAACCTGTTCCAGTGCCTCGCCACCCTCACAGTAAAGAATTTCTTCCTTATTTCTTATTTCTCTGTATCATAGCAGCTTTGGCAATTTAGGGATCTGTTTTGTCAAAAACACCTAATACTTGTAGAACGCAGCTGGTCCTGTGCCCAAGAGCAACTGATTTACAGTGTATCTCTGATGTCAAAATACTGCGTTTGCTTGGTCTACATTAGGAAATTAGCATGCACGAATCTGGTAGGAAGGTTTACAGGTTTAGGTAAGTTTATTGTACATTCACTCAGATATCCGTAGCAGAGTTGTTTTAGTGTTTACTAAAGGAATCTAAAATGGACTTAGTGAGGATGAGGAGAGTCCATATAACAAGTTACCATAAAAAAAGGAGTAATTACTTGGGAAAACAAAATCTAAGAAACAGGGATAAAGCACCGGAATTCTGAATTCCCAATTCGTATGCTCACCAATCACCAGAAAACCTTTTCGTTCCAGCTTTTGAAACTGCCATGTTTAAAGCAATTAGAATACTTTTTAGAGAAGAATAACATGTAGGATAGAGATTAATATTAGTAGCTTTTTCACTACATTATTACCAAAATAAAGGCTTCACACAACAAAGGAGTCATTTTTCTAAAGTTCACAAAATGGACATGCTGTTTATCTCTTACCTCTGTTAAACGAGGTATATGAAGGCCCTTCACATGGTCACTTGCAGTCTTCCTTGATTTGCCTGGCCATGTTCTTTTTCTGTGACTCTCTGCTACACCAGACCAGGCAAAGACATCATGGTAAGCTAAATCCAAATCTGAAGGATCAACTGCAAACTGGCATATCAGCTTCAACAAGCAAGCAAGACAGTCTAGCTGCCACTGTGAATAAGAAGAAAATGAAATTTTCCTATTTCAGGGATGTATTTTTAAAATAATTTCATGCTTGCTATGGAATTTGAAATGAAAAGTTTAAGTAAGGTATAAAGGATAAACAGCTACAATTCTAACTGGCAAAACCTCACCAGAAGAGACAATAAAGAAGAAAGTTACTTAAAAAGTTACTTCTTATACTAAGGACATTTTCATGATCTAGTCCTATTAACACGTGCATTCAAGATATTCTATTACTGAGTGCATGAAATAACACAGAGGAAATGGTATAGGACTTAAGTTCAACATTTAATAGCCTTTCCTGCATTGTATTCAACTATAGCACAGAGTAATAAGCATGGTATATAGAAGCACTTTCAAGCTGAGTATGTTTAACCATGCAGACACAATAGATACTACTTTAAAAATACTATTTTGTATTGTCATATCTCTTGTTAGAGGAAAACGACTGACTCATTTTGTAGCTCTTGGAGATCAGTTTTCACAGCTCTCAGCTGTGTGCCTATGGCCAAACACAGCACCTGCTCAGCTCCACCAGCAGAAAGTGGATTCTGAGAGTAAAATTAACAAAAATAGAGCACCATGTCACAGCAAAGTGATATGAAGTAGGTTCGGTATCTAGCACCTATGCATGTAAGCATACAAGTATAAGTCAGGACTTTGTATTAAGGCACTTAGTTGCAGAATTTGTTACCATTTTTGCAGTGTTGTGCATGCTTTTTGGACAGAGCAATAAAAGCAATCATAGAAACTTTTGTTTCTACACTGAATAGAAAGAAGGACAACTTGCTTCTAATATTGAAATAATTTTAGGGCAAACATATAAAAATTAGTTTAAAACTATCAAATTTTTAATAAAAGTATACCCGCCTTCTTTTTAGCATTTCAGTAACTGTTATGAGTTTTATACACACATATATGTGCTTGTTCATTTACTTCTTTTATGTACATATGACTCGCAGCTTGAGAAATTTAACTTTTTTTTTAATCAAATGCCATAGAATTGCAAATTTTAAAAGAGAAAAAATTTAATAAAAAAAGCTTTCATTGTGGTAAGAATTCAGCTCTAAGTAGTAACGGAATAATGATGAAAAAGACATTATATAAGAATGACTAACAATAATGGTCACTAACGAAAAGTGTCTTTATTAACACCACAGCCACAATGCTACCCCTTTTGTGTCAATGCCAACAAGACAAAATGGTATTTCTTGGCCTCTTCAGAGGGAAAGATAACTAACAGATTACTCCTTCTAAAACAGACTATAATAAAAGTTTCCAAATAGCAACCTTCCCTACAACAAGCAGAAAAAAGGCAAAAATAAACTACCTCCTTCTTGTTTGGCAAATTTTTACTTTTTTAAAAGTGTGATATGCAATAGTTTTATGAATGCAGTTGCAACCATTCCTGAAGATGAAACCCATTTTTTTTTTCCTCTAAGATGTTTTCCACGATCTACAATTTTATGTTCTACAAGCTAGGATTTTTTAAGACTGGACAAAAAATTAAACAAAAAATACACACAGAAAAACACAAAGGGTGATTTTAAAATATAAAAAAGCAGAAGTACGAAGATTATTCTTTTTAAAGAAAATAAATCATTCTATGAATATAAAATATTTAAGAAAAAGCTGCTATTGCATAGACTCTGGTGGTTTCAATTACAGAATTCATTTATTTCACTTACTACAGAAAAGTAACTGCAACAAAGGCTGAAAGTAATGAAAGTCTTTACAAATAAGAGCTATGTTATTCTGGAGAAAAAGGCTGAATAAACACCTACCACAGTCCATGATTCCTGTTCTTTAGGCTCTAAGATTCCAGAACTGAAAATTTCTAGTAACTGTTGGAGTCCTCCAGCAGCAACAAACTGTAAGTATATTATGGAACCAATATGAGAAAAGTAAATACAGAAATATCACTAAGTTCAGTTAGATACCAATCTAAGTTTTATAAATAAATAATTTTTAAAAATCTGATAAACTAGTCAGCTGGATATTTTATGAAAAACAAAAGAAATCATTGTACAGAACCGTGACAAATTTAAAGGCCTGACAACACAGAAAAACTTTAAAATGTAATACCTAAATTTGAGTTCAAGAACTCTAAGACAGGTGATGTTTTAAATGGGTTTTCATTTTGTATCTTTTTTTTGAAAAACTGTATTAGGTATCATAGAATACTGTAGGAAAATCAAACCTTGCAGCTCCATGTGTTTTTACTATTTTCTATTTGATCTTCACTCGAATCATCTGAGTCTGGGTAAAGATCGCTATAACTTCCCTAAAGATAAGTAAGAACAATTCATTGTAAAAACAGTTAAAGAATTAAAATACTATAAAATAACTCATCAATATATACCTAGCCTCAGAGAGAAAAACATATATTCTGTGCAAGAAACTCTGTTACCGTAGATTCACGTCTTATTCTCCTGTTGGGCTTTCCCAAAGCTTCAATAATTTCCAGGGCGTACAAAAGTTTATGGGCACTTTTTATTCGCAGCAGATCCTTCCAGCTAAAGCCATCATTACCCTTAGAAGACAGAAAAGACAGAAAACAATTAACACAAATATATGTAACGCTAATCTGTCTGAAAAATGCAAGGAGAGGATTTTTAAAGTGACATGGACAAATTATTTGGTTTTTAATTTCACCTATTATTTGAAATTAGACAATTTCAAGCATATTTCTATACATGATTAACAATATGAATAACGTGCATTCAGCAACAAAATTTGAGTAAAACTCCAACTTTACTATAAGCTGAGGTACACACAATTTTAAAGTGGAGGAAGCCAAATGTTGTACTCTAAATTATAACTTCCACCAAAATTTTGATGCATGTGTCCATAAAGAATCATAATATCTAAAAACTGTTAACATGTAATTTAATCAACTTTATAAGAGGCAAAATTTTCATCTATAGGGCAAGAAAACAACTAGATAAGTACCCATGTTCTGAACTTGAGAGTACAAAAGGATTACTGTCACAAGAGTCATAATGTTAAAGCAAGCCTGCAGACAAAGAAACTGCTGTTTCAAATCAACCCAAAAGATTGTGACAACTAGTACTGATTCTTCTTTTCATTTATTAACTCACTTTTTAAAAGAGATAATAAAAACAAACTTTGGGAACTAAGTTTGACATCTCTGTTTAATTTTGCAAGAATTATTATGTTTACTTGTGCCTCAGCATACTTCACACACTTACTATTTAGCATTCTTATTTGGGGAAAATTCAACTAAAACACTAGACACTAAAACATCCATGTATAATAAAGATAAACATGTAAAACAAGCATTCTTTGTTTACCTGCTCATCTGAAATATTCTGGAATGCCTGCAACATATTGGGGCATGTTGGCAGAAGCATTAACAGTTCCCAGACACGCCTGGACAAGTTTTCTGCATGGAGATGGAGTTCTTCACACCTTGAACTCTGACAAACCATAGAACAACCATTCTTATTGTGAACTTCTTTGTGCAAATAAGATTTCAAAGTCAAAAATTACATTTATTCTTAATTAAGAAGCTGTTTCCTATCTAATGCAAATCCATAAACAGAACATGATAGTTACAAGTCTCACTGAACCTGCAAGAAACTAAGTTCCATTATCTTTACAGCATATCGCATATTTTGAAATATTTGAGTGTAAATTGAACTTAAAAATAAGCTACTTGTCTGAATATACTAGTGGTTATTTAATTTCCCACAAGCTAATGATGACATATAAGACATAAAACCTGAGGTTTTGCGGTAAAACCTTTACAAACCTTTCTTCAAGCCAATTCCCCTTATTAGTTACCACCTCTACTGAAATAATCAATATTCTTTCTTAAGAATTACTTTTTTATAGTTTCTACAATATTCAGAATATTTAAAACACATCAGAACAAAGTTGTTAAGAAAATCAGAAGAAAATCAGAATAATCATAATGATTATACCATATGCAAAATGTGAATATACAGACAATAAATGTATCTAGCAATTGGACAGAGTACACAAGAAGTAGGCTAGACAGGAAAAACAGATCCAAGTAAATAAGACTTAAATGTAATTATTAGAATAAAATTACTCTAAATTACCTCACTATCTTCCATAGCCACTTCTCCAGAAGGAGGCTTAAAAGAGGCAAGCATCTCTAACAGATCAAAAAGAGTGGTAAGATGAGGTTCTTGAAGGAGTAAAAGCATTGGTATTTTGTCCTTCTGAGGAGGAGGTAGGCAAGATGCTGGAAGCTGCACACCTTCACCTTTACGTTCTCTCCTTGGTGCACCCAGGGATACAAACACCATCTAGAAACGGAGAGAAACAACAAGGAGCAGAGAGACAATTTTAAAAATCCACATGCTAAAACCAGAGAATGTTTTCAACAGGATCAGAATTAAGAACTTAAAGATACATCTTTGTTGCCAAATCTTTACTGTGCACCATTTTGAGCAAATGCCGTAATTAAAGCTTGGTTGTGCTTTGACTTAAGGCATTAATGGTGTAGTTGCATACCCTGTTAGCTGTTGTTACAGCAGACAGTCCTGTTTCCTTGTCCCTCATCCCTCCCCATTCAGGCTGGGGAGACTCTAGGACTGGCCTGACTTCTCAGTACATTGATGAAATGGCACAGCAACTAATCCAGAGGAAAAATGAGATAAAATTGGCTCAAAGGACCAGAAGAATGCTAGCAAGGGTGTAGCAACACAAATAGCAATGTGACTGGAAAAGTAGACATTTGTTATATTGGCATGACCATGGTGTGGAAAGCCATTCTCAGATGAACTGTTCCTGCT